TCCTTCCTTCCTTCCTTCCTTCCTTCCTTCCTTCCTTCCTTCCTTCCATCCATCTATCCATCCATCCATCCATCCATGGTGCACAGTGGTTAGAATGCCGAAATGCAGGCTAACACTGCCAACTGCCAGCAGTTCAATCCTGACTGCTTCCAAGTGGACTCAGCCTTCCGTCCTTCCAAGGTGGGTAAAGTGAGGACCCAGATTGCTGGGGACAAGAGGCTGACTCCCTTCCTTCCTTCCTTCCTTCCTTCCTTCCTTCCTTCCTTCCTTCCTCCCTCCCTCCCTCCCTCCCTCCCTCCCTCCCTCCCTCCCTCCCTCCCTTATTCCTTTTCTCATTCTCCTTCCTGGTGGTGCAGTGGTTAAAATGCAGTATTGCAGGCTGACTCTGCCCACTGCCAGCAGTTCAATCCTGACTCGTTCCAAGTAGACTCGGCCTTCCCTCCTTCCGAGGTGGGTAAAATGAGGACCCAGATTGTTGGGGGCAAGAGGCTGACTCTGTAAACCGCTTAGAAAGGGCTGTAAAGCACTGTAAAGCGGCATATAAGTCTAAGTGCTATTGCTGTAGCTGGATCTTCTTCTTTTCTCCTGCTATGTAAACCTTTGGAATGCTCTCAGCCTCAAAACTAGCAAGAAACAACCTAACCAGGATTCACCAATCATGGCCAGAATTAGGCTATAAGAGACCTGTTAGGTGGATGGGTTCGGTGGACCACGGTTTTCCTTCTTGATTTTAAAATGTTGATAACAGAAGAACAGAGTTGGAAGGGACCTTGGAGGTCTTCTAGTCCAACCCCCTGCCTAAGCAGGAGACCCTATACCATTTCAGACAAAAGGCTGTCCAGTCTCTTCTTAAAAGCTTCCAGTGATGGAACACCACAACTTCAGGAAGCAAAGTGCTCCACTGGTTAATTGTTCTCATCTTCAATTTGCTGACCGTGTTTGAGTTTAAAACTGAGCCATGGTTTTATTAAACAAACCATAACTGCTTGCCAGTTAATTAACATTAATCTGGGTAAACGGATATTGTCTTAACATCACGTGTGCATCCAAACACTGGTAAAATAACCATCTAGATTGAGAAAGAATCCACCAATGGGAAACATCTAAAATAAAAATTTAAAAAACCATCTCTTTGATTCCAGAACATTGCTTTGAGCCAGCTGCCAAATATGTTCAAACCACCAGATAATCAAGTGAAACCAATGTAATCATGTAAGGCTTTTTAAATCAGGTTATAGTCCTTTTTTTAAAATAAAAAAAAAAACACCTTACATTCTTGCTGGCTTTCTGCAGGGTAAGCTGTAACCCTTGGCACACTTTCCTGTTTAAAAGCACAGCAGGAATTATTTCTTGGCAAACACACCTGGGCATCCAGTTTGTTGGAACCTAAGGCAGCAGATAAAAAGGGCTCTAATATTCGGAAGCTTATTCATTCAATCCACTGTAAACTCTTTAATCTTTTCTGAAGGCAGAGCAGTGCCAATCTTTGTACCTCTGTAAACGTAGGAGAAGAGCAGGCACAGCTGGGAGGGTGGGGGCGGGATTAAATGCTTCATCGACCTAGAATCGTTACGTTGCCACAAATGTCCCAACTCCTTCAATACCATTGACCTGGTGCCGATTTCGTATTGAACTTATGTTCCTGATAATTGCCTCTAACTTTAATCTCATCAACTGAAGATCAGTACTACGTTGGGTGCCAGATAAGGGTCAACAGAATTCAAGAAGGGTTGGACTTGGACCGTTTGTAGCACAGCATAATGATTCTAGGCTGATGACACATTTAACTCCGCCCTACCAGGTCCGTCTGCTCTTCTACTCTGCTACAGTGAAGAGCTTATACCTTATACTTAGCTCAGAGTAAGAGTTAAGTAACCCACCTTTCTCTTCCCCCCCCCTCCTTAATTCCCTTTCAGACTGCTGCGACTTCGTAATCCCTGGGGCCGTTTCTCTTGGAATGGCAGCTGGTCCGACGAATGGCCCCACTGGCCCTCCCATTTGCGTCATGAGCTGATGCCCCACGGGAGCAGCGAGGGGGTCTTCTGGATGGAATACAGCGACTTCATCAGGTATTTCCCAGGGGCAGCCAGCTGTGTCTCAGAGCGCCTGGGTTCGGCTGTGGGTTTGTCAGGTTGTGGATTTTAAGATCACAAGGTAGAAATGATTCCTGGGTCTGCCTGTCTATCTGGCTACACACGCACACGCGCACACACACGATCTATCTATCGATCTCATTTCTAATACCTATATCTATCCTACCTATTTATTTATCTATCTCATCTCTAATATTTATATCTGTCTGTCTATGTATCTGTCTTATCTGTCTATCTCATCTCTAATACCTATATCTACCTATCCTAGCTATTATCTATCTCATCTCTAATATTTATATCTATCTACTCAGTCTATCATCTATTTATCTATCTATCTCATCTCTAATACCTATATCTATCCTACCTATTTATTTATCTATCTCATCTCTAATATTTATATCTGTCTGTCTATGTATCTATCTTATCTGTCTATCTCATCTCTAATACCTATATCTACCTATCCTAGCTATTATCTATCTCATCTCTAATATTTATATCTATCTACTCAGTCTATCATCTATTGATCTATTGATCTATCTATCTCATCTCTAATCCTATAGCTACCTATCCTACCTATTATCTATCTCATCTCTAATATTTATATCTACTCAGTCAGTCTATCTAACCCCTCTCTCTCTCTCTCTCTCTCTCTCTCTCTCTCTCTCTCTCTCTCTCCATCCATCCATCCATCCATCCATCCATCCAGGGGTGGACAGCTGGGGGTTCCTAAGATTATGTGCATTTTGGAGAACCCCCAAATCCCACTCTGGCCCCTCCCACCCCTCCCAGGAGTCCCCACGTGGCCCATTTTAGATGCAGGTAAGTGCAGAGTGTGCACAGAGGCTCAGGGAGGGCGAAAAACGGGCCTCCTGGAAGTTTGGGAAGGCCGTAAATGGGGCAGTTTCCAGCTTCCAGAGAACCTCTGGAACCCGGGGAGGCTGTTTTCGCCCCCTCAGAGGCTGAAGGAAAGCCTCCGGAGAGCAAAATGCCACCCTCTGCTGTGGTGCAGGAGGCCGACTAGGCCATGCCCACCCAGCAACTGGGCAGAGAACCTGTTGCTAAATTTTTTGAAGCCCAGCCCTGTATCTGTCTACCTATCAATCTAATCTAATCTTCTGCCTCTATTGTTTTTGCAAATAACTCAAGACTGTGGACATATCCCATGCACGCCACCTTCCTCCTATTTGCTCCATAACAGCCACCCTGTGAGGTGGGTTGGGCAGAGCAAGAGAGAGAGAGAGAGAGAGTGGAGAGAGAGAGAGTTGAGAGAGAGAGAGAGAGAGTGAGTGTGTGTGTAGCCGGCCTAAAGTTAAGAGATGTTGGTTTCTTTTGCTAGGTATTTCGACTCCGTGGACATCTGCAAGCTCCATTCAGACTGGCACGAAGTGCGGGTGCAGGCGGTTTTTCCCAACAAAGCCAGTGGGCCCATCACGGTCACGTCACTGACTGTGCTGGAGCGAGCAACTTTGGAGTTTGCCCTTTTCCAGGAAGGCAGCAGGTGAGGGGGAAGATCAAGCCAATTGGGGTGACCAACTGAGGCTTGTAGCACTTCCGGACGGTTCTATGTTCAGCCATGGTGGTTTGTGAATCCAAGCTTTGATATGTTTCACTCCAGGAAAAGGCTGCCTGTCATCTTCATGGATCAGGGTTTATGCCCTTCATCCCATCCTCCTAAACCAGAGGTCTCCAATCTTGGCAACTTTAAGACTTGTGGACTTCAACGCCCAGAATTCCTGAGCCGACATGGCTGGAAGGGGGAATTCTGGGCATTGAAGTCCACAAGTCTTAAAGCTGTAAAATTTGAAGACCCCTGATTTATGGTATCAATCCTCTTGGTTTGATGAGCTCGTTTTTCTTGTCCTACTGCACCCCAATCCGGCAGATGGTAGAGAGAGATCATGTTCATCGCAGGTGAACTGGATAGTAGCTTTGGAGTCTACTTCATAAAGACCTAGACAGTCGCCTTGAATCCGGGGTCAAGCGTACTGTCAGGTTTCCAAGCGATGAAATCCATTCAAAAAAAGAAAACAGCAAAGTCCATCTTCCATAATAATTTCTTTTATTTAGAATAGCATCAAATTGGCAAAGTCTGTTGTAATTCCGGATCTGCCATAATCCGGAATTACACCACATAATATTGGGAGTTAGAAACGATCTCCGAAAGTCACATTCTCCAATAGAAGTAAATCTATGTTGCCTGGTGTCATCAAACTCCACCTCCAGGTCTCGGTAAGGTCAGCTTTCATTCCCACGGGAAGAAACACCATCTGGCCTAAACAACCCCCTCTATCTCCACTCCTCCCGCCTTAGGATTGTGGCAAGCCCGAAACCCTTCCCTCCAATATCAGCAAAGGGAAAGAAAGAAAAGGAAATCAATAAAAAGGGCTAAATAAAGTGGCTATACATGTGTCCATTTCAGGCTGGACACATACAGCCCATCACACCGCGTGTGATCAGCTGTATCTGTCCAGGGTTTCAAGCTGGCTGCTGACTGGGGAACTTGCCCAGGTTGGGAAACGATTATTTTGAGGATGTTGCCAGTAGAACTGGTCCCCAGTCAGCAGCCAGCTTGAAACCCTGGACAGATACAGCTAACCACTTTAGGTGTGATGGGCTGTGTGCTTGACCTTGGGTTCTTTGTCTTGATGAAGTAGAGACCAGAGCTGCTATTACATTCACCTGCAGTGGTAATTTGCTGGATTCTGGGAGTTGAAGTCCACCCGCAGGAGTTGAAGTCCACCTGCTGGATTCTGGGAGTTGACATCCACCTGTCTTAAAACTGCCAAAGGTTGAGGAACCATAATCCTGAGGATTTTGCACGAACCGGTTTCCAGTCCTATCTATCCTTTAGATTACGGTTTCTCAACAGCGTTAACAGCGTTTCTCAACAGCGTTAAGACAGGTGAACTTCAACTCCCAGAATTCCCCGACCAGCATTTCTGGCTGGGGAATTCTGGGAGTTGAAGTCCACCCCTCTTAAAGTTGCCACGATTGGAGGACCCTGCTCCAAATGGACAAGAAGCGCTCTGAGCTGCAGCCCCTTCCCTCTCGTCCTTTCTCAGACGCTCGGACACTGTGGACAGCCACCTCCTTGACCTCTGCATCATGGTGTTCCGGGCCACCTTCATCAATGGGAGCAAGCTCAGCCTAGGGCGCCTGATGGCCCACAGCAAGCGAGCAGTCAAGAAATTTGTCAACTGCGACATCATGCTGGAGCCGGGCGAGTACGCCGTGGTGTGCTGTGCCTTCAACCACTGGACTGCCCCAGTGCTGGGGACTTCAGGCCCAGGTGAGAGCAGTGGGTGGCTTGCTTGGAGGGTAGGACTGAGAGCGGGTAGAAAGTCGCCGGCGTTTGAAGAAAAGGGCTCTTGAAGAGCCATGGTGGTGCAGTGGTGAGAGTGCAGTACTGCAGGCTAACTCACTACTCACTGTGAGGAGTTCGATCCTGACTGGCTCAAGGTCGACTCAGCCTTGGTGAGCCACATTGGTGTGGTGGTTAGAGTGCAGTACTGCAGGCTACTTCTGCTGCCTAACGGCTGCTTGCAGTTTGGCAGTTCGAATCTCCCCAGGCTCAAGGTTGACTCCACCTTCCATCCTTCCAAGGTGGGTCAAATGAGGACCCAGATTGTTGCGGGCAAGAGGCGGACTCTGTAAACTGCTTAGAGAGGGCTGGAAAGCACTATGAAGCAGTATATGTCTAAGGGCTATTGCTATTGCCCTTCCTTCCTTCCTTCCTTCCTTCCTTCCTTCCTTCCTTCCTTCCT